CTTTAAAAGGTTCTTTTTAGAAATGGGAGGTCTCACTATGTTGTCCAGGCTGGTCTCAAACTCCTGGCCTTAAGCGATCCTCCCACCTTGACCTCCTAACGTGCTGAGATTACAGGCGTGTGCCACCGTGCCTGGCCTTCCTTGGTTTTAATTCACTGAAACTCAAAGAGCCGCACACAGAGAGTGGCCACCCTACTGGCCTGCCCGAGGAGGTCCTGATCTCTGTTGGGGGTCCCCCATCCCCCGCAATCCCAAGAGCTTCCCCTTGCCCCCAGGATGTGAGCGCGGAGCAGAGCCTGGAGCAGCCGGAGCTGTACTTGGCGGGGCAGAAGGACGAGCTCTTCAACTACTGGGTCTTCGTCCAAGCAGTCGCCCATGGCGTGGCCACCTCTCTGGTCAACTTCTTCATGACGCTGTGGATCAGCTGCGACACGGCGGGACCTGCCAGCTTCAGCGACCACCAGTCCTTTGCGGTCGTGGTGGCCTTGTCCGGCCTGCTGTCCATCACCATGGAGGTGGGCAAGGTCCTCACCTCCCCGGGCCCTTGGACACGGCCTATGGAGGCCTCCTCCTCCGGGGACCACTGCTTTGGGGGCCTTGCTGGGCGCCCTCCCTGGACCCTGGGGGCGGGTGTCCTGGTGCAGTCTCCACCGGGCCCCGGATTTACCCCATGCTGCCTGTCCAGGTCATTCTTATCATCAGGTACTGGACTGTCCTGTGCGTGGTGACCATCGTTCTCAGCCTGGGTTTCTACGCCATCATGACCACCATCACCCAGAGCTTGTGGCTCTTCAGAGTATCCCCCAAGACCTTCCCGTTTCTGTGTGAGCCCCCGTGGGGAAGTGTGATGGGCGGTCGTGGTGCCGGGGGTCCCTGATGGAAGAGGTGGCAGGTTGCTCGTGACAGTCGTCAGGCAAAGTGTCCCGGGGAACGGGCTCCTTTATGAACCAGGCACAAAGGCACCAGGGCGCTCCGCGGCCTGGGGGCGTCTTCGGGGCTGGGGGCGGGGGAGGCGGCACAGGCTCCCAGCAGGCTCTGCTGTGACCCCGCCCTGCCCCCAGACGCTGACCTCAGTGTGCTGTCCTCCCCCTCCATCCTGCTGGTGGTCCTGCTGAGCGTGTCCATAAACACCTTCCCTGTCCTGGCCCTCCGGGTCATCTTCCCAGCCCTCAAGAAGCTGCTCGCCAAGGTGAGGTGGGCCTGGGCCTGGGGTCCTCACCCGGTACATTCCAGGACCCTGGTGGGGGAGCCACGCGGGGTGTGGGGACTGCAAGGTGTCCCAGCCCCTCTTGGCCCCCCAAGACACTGGGCTGGGGGGAAGGGTGGGTGCAGAGCCCCGACACATGCCCAGTGCCCCCGGGACCCGATTTGCCAAGAAGGGAGACCTCACTTCCCAGACAAAGCAGCAGAGAGCACCCAAAGGCCACCCTGGGTTCCAATGCTGATGCTATTGGACTCTTAAGGTTTTATTTATTTATTTATTTTTATTTTTTGAGACAGGGTCTTGTGCTGTCACCCAGACTGGAGTGCCGTGGCACAATCTCGGCTCGCTGCAACCTCCATCTCCTGGGTTCAAGCAATTCTCCTTCCTCAACCTCCCAAGCAGCTGGGATTACAGGCGCACACCACCACGTCCAGCTAATTTTTGTATTTTTAGTAGAGACGGTGTTTCATTATGTTGGCCAGGCTAGTCTCAAACTCCTGACCTCAAGTGATTCGCCCACCTCAGCCTCCCAAACTGCTGGGATTATAGGAGTGAGCCACCGCGCCCGGCCTTAATGTTTCTATTTAATTAATTGATTTATTTAGAGATAGGGTCTCACTCTGTTGCCTAGGTGGGAGTGCAGTGGTGTGATCACGGCTCACTGAAGCCTCAACCTCCCAGGCTCAAATGATCCTCCCACCTCAGCCTCCCAAGTAGCTGAGACCACGGGCATGCACCACCATGCCCAGCTAATTTTTTAGCCTTTTTCTAGAGATGGAGTATCATTATGGTGCCCAGGCTGGTTCGAACTCCTGGGCTCACGCAATCCTCCTGCCTTGGCCTCAACATGTTGGGATTTCAGGCATGAGCCACACCGTGCCCAGCCAACACCATCAGATTCTACCCTGAAAGATCTAGGGCTTGGGGATTGAGATGACGGAAACAACCTTGAAGTGGTTTAGGCAAAAGGAGGAACTTGGAAACGAGTCCGTTGACAGATGGTCAACACAGCGTGCTCCATCCATGCAATGAAACACACCTGAGCCATGAGAAGGAGTGAGGCTCTGACAAAGGCCACAGCATGGATGCACCTTGAGGACATGTGCTCAAGGCCGGGCACAGAGGCTCACACCTGTAATCCCAGTACTTTGAGAGGCCGAAGCAGGTGGCTCGCTTGAGCCCGTGAGGTTGAGGCTGCAGTGAGCTATGATTTTGCCACTGCATTCCTATCTGAGCAACAGAGCAAGACCCCACCTCAAAGAAAAAAAAAAAAAAAGGGAGGGAGACTTACTAGCCCACGTAACCAAAACATATATGGAAAAGCAGGTTGCAGCTGAGATGGGCCCCAGAATTGACTGGAATGGTGTACCTGCCCTGCCACCTCTGTTCTCCCTGCCCAGCTCCTGCCACCTTTACTGCACAGGCTGGACACATGGCTGTTCCAGGCTCACCTCTCCTGGATTTGACACTAAAGGGCAGCCAAGGCACCTGGTGGCTGGTCTAGAGTTAAGTCTCAGGGAAGGACTCTGATTGGCTGAGCCAGGGTTAAGTCCCAGGCAATAACTCTGATTGGCTGATCCAAGGTTAGTTTCCAGGGCAAGGCCAATTAATGGGTCTTGAAAAGCAAAGGACTGGAGTCCTCCTTAGAACTCGACACTGGGAGTTGAGGAGTCTAATTGGCTCAACTGGGTAGGGAAGAACCTAGCCAATCCATAGTGGCCAAGGGCTTTGAATCCTGCCTCTCCTCCTCGGGGGACAGGTCACCGGAGAGCCGTCAGCCAAGCATAGAAGTCTGATTCCCCTGCTCTCCCCTTTGCTTTTCAGGAGGAGAAGGTGGAGGAGGGCCCGAGCGAGGAGATTTTTGTCGTGGAGCCCTTGCCTCATTTGTACCGCGAGTCTCGCGCCCGGCGTTCCAGCTATGCCTTCTCCCACCGTGAGGGCTACGCAGACCTCATCACTCAGGGCACAATTCTGCGGAGGGGACCAGGGGTCAGCAGTGACATAGCATCTGAATCCATAGTCCCATCTGAGGAAGAGGCATTTTCAAGCCCAGAGGAGTCACACTGGCATCTCAGGAAGATGCCCTTCCTGGGGAAGAAGCAGCGCCAGTCACAGGGGCAGGTGTCCTCCCTGGAAGTACAGCACTTCCCTACAACTAGCTCATCATTTTCTGTGGATAGACAATCCACTCTTTATTCAGAAAACCAACTTGCCCTCCCCAGATATGTGCTTACCAGCACCAACAGATTGTCTGGGTCTTTCCAGGAGCAATTGCCAAGGGTACAGGAGAGGCCACTGTCACCCAAACAGAGGCCATCTTCTCCTGAGAAGTTGCTGTGGACCAAGGAGAGGTCATATTCTCATCAGGAGAAACCACCGTTGCACAGAGAAAGCCAGCTGTCATCTTCTGAGAGCCAGCCACAACCTCTGGGGAGCCAGTCATTGCTTTCAGGCCAGCTGACATTGGAGAGCCAGCCAGACTCCTCAGAGAAGTCAGCATTTTTGAAGCCCTCCACACCGTTATGGAAGAGCTGGCAAAAGGAGCCCCTCAACCCCAAGGAGGGGACGGTGCCACTTCCAGACAAGACCCACGAATCTCAGGTGGAGACTCTGCCACCAAGTCTGGCGGAATCGTCCACGTCCACGAGCGAGCAGCCTATGGAGGTGGAGCCCTGGCCTGTGGAGAAGCAGTCATCATCATCCATGGAGTGGCTGCTGGTGCCCGGGGAGGAGCAGCCATCCTTGCCCCCAGAGGAGCAGTCATTGCCCTCTGCGGAGGGGACCAGGGGTCAGCAATGACATAGCATCTGAATCCCTAGACCCATCTGATGAAGAGGCATCTTCCAGCCCAAAGGAGTCACACTGGCATGTCAGGAAGATGCCCTTCCTGGGGAGGAAGAAGCGCCAGCCAGTTCTGCTGCAAGTCAACCAGCGTGCAGGGGGCCTCCCTCTAACGACAGGGCTCCACATGCTTTTCTTTTTCTAATAAACCAGGGTCCATCTGACCCCAGCGTTAATTGAGGCTCACTCTTTCCCTACAGTTTTTTTGTGATGGAGTATTCCTTTCTGGTTTTTAAAATCAAAGCACTGACCTCTAGTGCTCTAGCCGGGTATTTGCAGGGAAAACTTTTCTTCATACTGGGGTAAGATAATGTGGGTAAAGCTTCATTGCTCTCCAAAGTTGTTCATTAAAAGCTGTGGCTCCCCCACTGCCTGACAGCTGGCCCCTCCCAAGAAAGTTTATAAATTCCAGTTCTGGTGCCATCTAGCTTCTTCATCTATCGGGAAGCCCTGGTTTCTCCCCTTCAAATACACCTTCATTCGCTGGGGTCTCCGTTCACTTTAGACTCCAGAAAGCAGTGAGCAGTGATGTCACAGAAGCAGGTCCTGACAAGGTCTGCATCTTGGGGCTTGGTTGACTCAAAGGCACCAAGCTTTTCTTTCAAAGGCGCTAAGCTTTTCTTTCTGATTCTTAACCATTCCCTGTGGGTGGTGGAGTTGTGTGGGCGGTGGAGGCTCAGAGCAGGCTGCTGGCCCAGGAAGAAGATGGGACTCAAGAGCAGAGAGGGGCGAGCTGGGTGGCAGCAAAGTCCCTCTTCCCTGCGCTCCCGTCCTCCCGCCCCGGCCTTGAGGTGGGTGAGTTCCATTCCCGCCCCGCATCTGTGCCGGGCCCGTCGGCCAACACACACACCCAGATGAGTGACTAGAAAATAATTTATTGAAGAAGAACAAATGAACAAACCCAGCACAGCAATGGTTAACAATGATGAGACTTTTTTTTTCTTTTTTTTTTTAACTTTTAAGCCTGTCGCCCGAGGGTGAAGGTGGAAGAGGGCTTCTCTCCCCTGTCACTGGAGGGGAGCGGACTTTGGAGGGTCCAAGTGGTGTCTCCCCTGAAAGCAGCCCTCAGTTCCGGTCTGTTCAAAACACTCAAGGCCGCAGGGCCTCCTGGCTCTTCCCTCCCCCGCAGCTGAGCCCATTCCACCAAAACCAGTCCCCGCAGGGGTCCCACAGGGCCACGAGGAGGAGCCCCAGGAGTCTCTTGGCCTGATTTTGCTTAAACCCCTTGGGGCAGAGAATGTGAAATGGCCCAAGCTGCGGCTGGTGCAAGGAGCATCCTGGCCCCGGCATCATTTCAGATTTCAGGTCGGCTGAGCCCTCAGCCCCAGGCCCAGCCCTCCAGACCGGGGCTTTCTGCTTTATGGGGTGAGAAGCACCCCCTTTAGCTTCGCCGTCCCCCCTACTGGGGCCTGTCCCCGAAAGCGGCCCCTCTCATCTCTCCCCTGCTGCTCTCTCCTCCAGCCTCGGTTCCCAGGCCAGCACACCTGTGCCCCTTCCACCTCCAGGGGCTGTTTGGGGATGGCTCAGGGACATGGCCTCATGGCACAAGAGGAGTCAGAGGCAGAGGACATTGTCTCAGAGCCCCCTTTGATGATTTTGGGGGGTCTTCTCTAGGCCCCCAAAGTGGGCTGGGAGGGAGGTGTCTCTGCAGGCGTACACCCCCTGCCTCCCCGACAGGACAGAAAGGCGGAGTCATGCCCAGTCCAGGGAGGGGAGGCTGAGGCTGTCTGGGTGGAGGTGTGGGGGGGCGGTGCTGGTGCCTGCTGTTGGGGGCCTCAGGAGGGTCCTTCAGATCTCAGGAAGTTGGGGCGTACCCGCATCCCCCACCACCCTGGGCGACAAGACAAGAATAGGCTGATTGTCTCTCTCCTCTGAACGAGACACTTGGGAGTTCATGCTAAAGTGAAACCAACCGGGTGATGCGGGGTTGGGGTGGTCTAAGATGTCGAGGACACCAGAGCGCCCCCAAGAACCAGGAATGGCCTGGGGGGCTCGTTGGTTCCCACCTGGCTGGGGCAGGCAGGTGGCATCTCGGGGCTGGGAGGTGGAGGAGACCCGGGCACTGAGGCTCTGCTCCCGCCCCCGCTGCCTAGAGCCCCGTCCGCCTGTCCCGGCTGGACACAGTTCCTTAGAAAGGAGGAAAGAAACAGTAACGAAAGACCACCGAACAGCACCGATCGGGCACCAGACACACAGAAGCGACACGGAACCGGGCCACGCCCCCGCCCCCCACCCCGACCACTTTATTACAATTAGCGTCAAGAAAGAGTACATTAGTCATGCACCAACTCAAATTCCATTTTCTTTTTTTTTTTTGCATTTTTCTTCCTTTTTTTTTCTTAAATTACATTTGAACACAGAGCACAGAGAATAATAAATACTCTTATAAGACACGACTCCAGAAAACAAGAAACAGAACAAGCCAGAGAACAGAAAGATATACCTCTGCCTCTCTCTCTCTCTCTCTCTCTCTCTCTCTCTCGCTCTCTCCCTCTCTCTCTCTCTCCCTCTCTCTTTCCTAAAGGACTCGTTTAAATAAGAAATCTGTAAACGCCACTGGTCCTTTCTGCCGCAGTCTCTCCCACGATCACGCTCCCTCTGACTTTCCCTCTGGTCTCCAGCCCTGACATTCAATGCGTCTCCCACGGAACTCGTCAAAGAAACGACATGCCATCGTCTGCAAAATTATAATTTAACGGCATAAAGCTTCAAGTCACGTATTCCAAAAACTAGCTAAGGATTTTTTTTTTTAAATCACATAAACTATACATTAAATATTTTGAGGTATTTCAGAGAAAATTGTCAAAGGCTCGAAGGAATTGTGCTGGAGGTGGTGTTCCCTGCATGGAGAATGGATGCTCTTTGGTATGTGACAGCCAAATGGGCATGGGGGGGGAGGCAGGAGAGGGCCCGAAGGGCTGGGGTGCGGGTCGGGGATAGAGCCTTCTGTGGGGGTCTGGCCAAGTTTGGGATGGGGCCGGGAACAGCTGTGTGTGTGTGTGTGTGTTTGCGTGTGTGTGTGTGTGTGAGAGAGAGAGATAAAGACATGTGAAAAGGACCCAGGAGTCCTGGGCCACTTAATTTTTTTGTAGAGGTGGGGTCTTGCTGTGTTGCCCAGGCTGGTCTCAAACTCCTGGCCTCAAGTGATCCTTCTGTCTCGGCCTCCCAAAGTGCTCCTGGGCCACTTCTGTGACCAAGAGGCTTTACCCGATCTGACCACAGTTCAGCATAGCTAAAACGTTCCTCAACAAGAACGATCCCAAGTCAAGTCCTAAATTTCCAGCAGGGAACAAAACTGGAGGCCCCCTAGTGTCTGACCCTTGGGGCCCTGAAGGCCAGGCAGAGGGCATCTAGGAGACCCACCCCCTGCCAGGCCCATGCTCCGGCCAGTGCCTGAGGCCCAGGCATCGATTTTCTGAGAAGCTCACTGGGCCAGGGCTGCAGCGTGATTCTCTTGGATCAGAAGCATTTTATTGCCTTTGAGAGCCCCTTCCTCCACTAAATGTCTACCTACCTGTAATCCTAGCACTTTTGAAGGCCGAGGTAGGAGGACCCCTTGGGGCCAGGAGTTCAAGACCAGCCTGGGCAACATAGCGAGACCCCATCTCTACAAGAAATCCCTTAAAAAATTTAGCTGGGCATAGTGATTCGTGCTTGTGGCCCCAGCTACTGGGAGGCTGAGGCAGGAGGATCACTTGAGCCTAGGTAGTCGAGGCTGCAGTGAGCTACGATTGTACCACTGCACTCCAGCCTGGGTGACAGAGCAAAATCCTGTTTCCAAAAGAGAAATTTAAAACATTGTATATCTATAGGCTACCTTGGTATACAAACTAATAATATGGTATGTTGAATAGGTCTGCATCTTCTTGGACCAAAATTTTTTCTTTTTTTTTTTTTTGAGCCAGAGTCTTGCTCTGTCGCCCAGTGGTGCAGTCGCGGCTCACTGCAAGCTCTACCTCCCGGGTTCACACCATTCTCCTGCCTCTCAGCCTCCCCAGTAGCTGGGACTACAGGTGCCCGCCACCACACCCAGCTAATTTTTTTGTATTTTTAGTAGAGATGGGGTTTCACCGTGTTAGCCAGGATGGTCTCGATCTCCTGACCTCGTGATCTGCCGGCCTCGGCCTCCCAAAGTGCTGGGATTACAGGTGTGAGCCAACCGTGCCCAGTCACTGGCCTAAAGCTTTTTCAAAAGAAATTAAAATGTGGGCCCCGGACCTGCTGGGCCCATAGGCTACGTCAGTCTGGCCTGGAGTGAACAGGACAACTCTAGGTTCATCCATCAGGAACTTAGGGGTGGGGACAGGAGAGAAACTGAGGCCCAGGTTTTAGTGGGAGGTGGGAGATACTGAGTTGCTGGCACCCAGTGACACCACAGAAGAACAGGAGCCAGTGTGCGTGCATGTCTGTGTCTGCATGTGTGTGCCTGTGTGTCTGCATACATCTCTTCGTGTGTGTCTGCCTGCGTGTCTGCATACATCTCTTCGTGTGTGTGTGCCTGCGTGTGTCTGCATGCATGTCTCTGCATGTGTGTGCACATGTATGTGTGTGCAAGTGTCTGTATGTGAGTGCCTGCATGTGTGTGTCTGTGTGTTGTCTGCATGTGTGTCTGTGTCGGGGCAGAGAGGTGGGGTGCTGAGCAGGAATGGGGACCATTTCTACTATTAGGAACCCCCCAACACCCAAATGTTCTAGAAGCATCACTCAGATCCGATCGCTTGGAAAGCTGGGAGCAGAGCGAGTCGATAAGGACAAGAGAACACTCCATACACGTCTTTGGTTCAAGAAGAAGGCACTCATCGACCTCACGATCCTCTCCCTCCCTCTCTCCCGGTCTCTCTTTCTCTCTCTCTCTTTCCCTCTTTCTCGATCTCGCGTTGGGGAAGGGTTGGCACCCGGCAGGCGGGGCCCCGAGCCGGGTCCCAGGCCAGGGAATCCTATCATCCAGCACAAATCCTTGGGAGAAATCTTTGGTATCAGGCGTGATTTTCCAATCACAGACATGAGCTTGAGTGAGGTAGCCTTTACCTGGGGGAGGGGAGGGGCATTTCACTAGAAATGTCTTTTGCATTTTCAAGGGGGGTGGGCGGGCCGCTTCCTCCCTGGGAGGCAGCCGATGGGTGGGGGGATTTCAGGGAGGAGGTTCCTTCTGGCCTCGGATCTTGAACCCTCGGGGGAGGCGGGCTCCTGGGATCCCACGACCGGCCAGTCTAGGAGGTCACCCAGACCAGATGAGAGGAGCGGGGGAGGGGGGGCGCTCATCTTCATTTCCGACCCTTCCCACTTGTAAATTTTTTTGGCAAAAACTGGAGCAAGCAGATTCCACCTTCTTCAGCTTCTTCTCTCTTTGGCGAGAGTGGAGACCAACACCAGGTTCAACCCCGCTGCCCCCTGCAAGCCCAGTTCAGCCTCCGAAGCGGGAGGAAAGGGGGGCGGTCAATTCCAGAAGGTTCCACGCAGGAAGCGGCTCCACGGCCCCGTGCAGAGGGGCTTCTCCGGGCGGCCCCAGCGGCGCCTTCTCCGTCGGGGTCCCCTTCTCCGGGGAGCGTGGACGCGGTCTCCCGTGTCCGGGGCTGCGTCCTTCCCTGCGCTCCACGAAGGTGCCTAAAGGTAAAGTGAACTCAACAGAGATGGCGGGGCGGGGGCGTCTGGAGTTTACCCGCATGTGGGAGCCCCCCGACCCCTGCGGCCTGGGATGGGGTGGGAAGGGTGCTCGCCCGTGGGTGCTGGGCGCCCGCCGCAGGCCCCTCCCCAGCCTTTAAGGCAGGCGATTCTTGGCACGAGGAATCCTGGCCGCTGGGAGGGGCAGCTCAGTTCTCGGCCGCAGGGGCCGTGCTGCCAGCGGGTGGGGTTGGTTTTGGGGAGGGTGGGGGACCGTAAGGATCCGGCCTGATGTGGGTTTTTGGCGACTTTGGAAGGGGCTGAGGTCTCTGGGGTGGGGGGCCAGGGCGGGTGGGGAGGAAGGAAGGTTTCTTCTACCTCCCTCGGGGGTGGGGGCAGGGGATCTGGCGGAGGAGGGGTTATTCTTTAAAATTCCTTTTTTAAATACCCGGTTTATATTTCTAGTATGTGCTTCTTGACCCGCTTTAGGGGACAACACAGTGAGCCCTGGTTTTTCTCGAGGCCCTCTGGGCGTCCTGAATGGAGAGGGGGCTGGGGAACCCCTTTCTGTCACTCCCTCTCCTCTGTGGGGGTGGAGGGCTTCCTTTGGCCTGGAGGGAGTGGGCATGGAGGGAGGAGGGGGGCCCTTTTTGTGCACTTGGGCTGGGGGGTGTGCTGCTTCCCCCTCCCCGGGTGTGGGGGGCCCGGACAGCACCCCCTCCAGGTGCCCCCTGGGGGCGGGTCTCCGGGCCGGCAGGATGAAGGGAGGAGACGTGGGGGCACAGCGCCCAGGCCGTGGAGGCAGGGAGGGCGCGGGGCCCGGGCGCCTCAGGCCTTGGAGAAAGTGGCCGTGGCGCCAGCGGGGCCCCCGGGGGCCGTGCTGGGCTCCTCAGCCCAGCGGTTCATGCAGCGGCGCCGCGCGTTCATGAAGAAGTTGCTGACGGTGTTGAGCTCCAAGCCAAGCTGCTGCGAGATGGTGACCTGCATCTCCTTGGACGGCCGCTTATTCTCCTTGAAGATGGCGATTAGCGTGCGCCGCTGCAGGTCGGTGAACACCAGGCGCTGTTTCTTGGGTTGCAGCGCGCGCTCCTTCTGCTGCTCCTGCTCCTTGCGCTTGCAGGCTGCGGGCGAGCAGCGAGCGGGCGGGCGAGCAGGACACAGCGCCACCGTGTGGCCGGCCGGGGAGAGGCAGGCGGCGCACGCCGCCGGGAGGATGAGGAGGAGGGGAGAAGGGACACGTGGGGGAAAGGCGGATGCACGTAAGGACCCAGGGAGAGCCCAGGAGGAACAGGAATGCAGGGAGAGGCGGAGGGGAAGACAGCGGGGAACACATGGACGCACAGAGACAGAGACAGGGAAACAACAAGGTCAACAGGGAGACACCAGGAAAGTCCAGGATGCAGCCAGAGGGCGGTGGACACAGAATCCAAGGTGAGGACAGGCAGGAAAAGCAGATGGGGTGGGGGTGGGGGGAGGACAAAGAAGGGGACACAGTGTGAGCGCCCCTCAGCAGGCACGGGCACAACTCCCTCCAGCCAGCCCCCTTCTCCATGGAGCCCACTCAGGCACCCCAAGCCTCATATCCCCCAAAACCCCATCCTCCCCTCAAATGCTCCCGACCTAAAGGACCACAGAAATTCGTGTTGGTAACTTCTGCAGCCCCAACCTGGGGGTGTTGGGGAAATGACATGGAAACTGCACACGTGAGTTTTCAGCTGAGTGTAGACTTGGGTGAAATAACTGGTTAATTACCAGGTCCTGGGGTGCATCACAAAACCCAGCAACCTTCCCCAGAAATGATGGGCCAACCAGGGTCTTTCCTTTCTTTCTTTTCTTTTTTTTGGGTAGGGGAAGTCTTGCTATGTTGCCCAGGCTGGTCTCGAACTCCTGCCCTCAAGTGATCCTCTGGCCTCAGCCTCCCAAAGCACTGGGATTACAGGCATGTGCCACGGCAACTGGCTCTGACAACCAAGCTCTACGAATGAGCAGCAGGGACACTCCTGTAAGGCCTGATACCCTTAGGGACCCTGGGAGTTCACAGTCCAATTCTGACACTGAATCCCTGCCTCCTGGCCCTGCCCCTATCCACACGCTGAGACCACCCAGACTTGGCCTCCCTCGAGCACCCAGTGGACCCTCTGGAGCGCAGAACATTTAAGGAAGAAGACTTAGGAGGAGGAGGGGAGGAGTGTAGGGACCACCTCTTCCTCTTCCAGATAAGCAGGTCACCCTTCCTCTTGGCCAGTCCGCACAGATTAGGGAGAGGGCTGAGGGAGGCTGCCCCACCGCCTGCAGACCAGACACTGGCAAAGGGAGTAAAGCAAAGGCTCGGGGTGGTGGGGCAGGGCTGAAACCGAGTCCTGCTCTTCCTGCTCCAGTAGCAAAGAGGACCCCTCCCCTCAATGCAGTCCATGTCAGTGGATACAAAACACAGGCTTCCCCACCTAGGAGCTGGGCCACAAGTCAGATGGTCTCATCTGTGGCATCAGCTTGAAACTCTATGAGAATCTCAATTTCTCTCCTGCATCCACTCTGGGACTGTGGTGCTGGAGAGGCTGTCCTGCCCTCGTCAAAATCCCGGAGTCCCAGCTACTCTGTGACCCCCAGAAGCAGCTGGTGGTGCAGGTTGTACTAGTGCGTCTCTGCTCCCAGTCTCTTCTCTGTGCCAGCCCTGGTGGCCTACTGGGATGGCACAGAGAGCTTTTCTTTTGGTTGCAGAACAGACTGGAACGTGATATGCTAGATCAATGTCCATACACATCCACAGAAATAAATGAATGTTCCCTCTGCTGTGACTCACGTCTCGGGGACAACAGGTTCGCCCATCTAGGGTGTGAGCTGACACACACTTCACTCCCTCTGACCCGGAACGTGTGGGGCTTCTAACTGCGGTTTCAGGTTTTACGACTAAATGCAAGTGATGCCTGTGGGTTACTGCACATTTTAGAAGTGTCTTAACATGAAAAAAAGAGGGGGAGAGAGAGAGAGTGAGGGAGGGAGGAGGGGGGAGAACAATGGAGAAAAATGGTTTAGTGGGGGAGGAATAAACTCAGAAGGAACCGACAAGGCAGGCAAAGATATAATTAACATTCCCAGAGGGGTAAGAGAAAAATACATCCATGAAACAAGTACAGGATGCTGTTAAGTAAAAGCGACCCTTAGAGAGTGAGGAAATGCTCTTAAAATGTCAGTACGTAATAGCCAGAGTAAAACAATTCCACGTAAGGACTGGAAGATAAAGTTAAGCAGATACTGGCCGGGCGTGGTGGCTGACGCCTATAATCTCAGCACTTTGGGAGGCTGAGGCGGGCGGATCACGAGGTCAAGAGTCTAGCCTGGCCAACATGGTGAAACCCCGTCTTTACTAAAAATTCAAAAATTAGCCGGGTGTGGTGGTGGGCGCCTGTAGTCTTAGCTGCTCGGGAGGCTGAGGCAGGGGAATCGCTTGAACCCGGGAGGCAGAGGTTGCAGTGAGCTGAGATCATGCCACTGCACTCCAGCCTGGCGACAGAGAGAGACTCTGTCTCAAAAAAAAAAAAAAAAAAAAAAAAAAAAAAAAAAAATTAAGCAGATATCCCAGAAAATGGAACACAAGCAGCTGCAAAGATGGGAAATGAAAGAGAATAAAACGTTAAAGGATGAATTAAGATGAAGCAGGGTTGTCACCTGATCAAGAGACAGTTCAAAAATAGAGGAAGAGGGTTGTTACCTGATCAAGAGACAGTTCAAAAATAGAGGAAGAGGCCGGGCGCGTGGCCTTGCCTGTAATCCCAGCACTTTGGGAGGCCGAGACGGGCAGATCACGAGGTCAGGAGATCGAGACCATCCTGGCTAACATGGTGAAACCCCGTCTCTACTAAAAATACAAAAACTAGCCGGGCGAGGTGGCAGGCGCCTGTGGTCCCAGCTACTCGGGAGGCTGAGGCAGGAGAATGGTGTGAACCTGGGAGGCGAGTTTCTGCAGTGAGCCAGATCTGGCCACTACACTCTGTGCCTGGGCGATGAGCGAGACTCCGTCTCTCAGAAAAAACAAAACAAAATAGAGGAAGAGATGATCAAATAATGAAAAATCTAGGGTTGAAAGAGGATGAGTTTCCCAGTTTAAAGGTGGTCAGGTGTAGGCTCACGCCTGTAATCTCAGCATTTTGGGAGCTGAGGCAGGAGGATCACTTGAGACTGGGGATTCAAGGCTGTAGTGAGCATGATCTCACCATGACACTCCAGCCTGGGTGACAGATAAGACTTCTCTCTAAAATAAATAAATAATTTTTAAAAAATAAATAGGGCTCACCGGGCATGGTGGTACATTCCTGTAATCCCAGCACTTTGGGAGGCTGAGGTAGGTGGATCACGAGGTCAGGAGTTCGAGACCAGCCTGACCAACATGATGAAACCCCATCTCTACAAAAAATACAAAAAAATAGCTGGGCGTGGCAGGCACCTATAATCCCAGCTACTGGGAGATTGAGGGTAGGAGAGCTGCTTGAACCCAGTAAGCAGAGGTGTGAGCTGAGATCACACCACTGCACTCCAGCCTGGGCAACACAGCGAAATTCCCATCTCAAAAATAAATACATAGGCTGGACAAAATGGCTCATGCCCTCTAATTCCAGCACTTTGGGAGACTGAGGTGGGAGGATCACTTGAACCCAAGAGATTGAGAGTAGCTTAGACAATATAGCAAGACTCCATTGCTACAAAAATTTAAATTAGCCAGGCATGATGGCTCACACCTGTGGACCCAGTTATTCAGGATGCTGAAGTAGGAGGATCATTTGAGCCCAGGAGGTCAAGGCTGCAGTGAGGTGTGATCGTGACACTGCACTCCAGCCTGGACGACAGAGCCAGGACCCCAGCTCTTAAACAATGGGGTGAGACATCAAGTCCTCAGCTCAATGAATGAAAAAGGCACTGAAGGCTCATTGTGAAATTTCAGAGCACCAAGAATAAAGAGAAAATCCTAAAAAGCGTCCAGTGGAAAGCCAGATGTCATACAAAGGTTCAAGAATCCAAGCAGCTTTGGGTTTGCAAAAACTAGCAGACAATAGAGCAAGGCTTTCAAAGTTCCAAGGAAAAGTTTTTTTCTGTTTGTTTGTTTGTTTGTTTTTGAGACGGAGTCTGCTCACGCTCAGGCTGGAGTGCAGGCGCGATCTCGGCTGACTGCAAGCTCTGCCTCCCAGGTTCACACCATTCTCCTGCCTCGACCTCCTGAGTAGCTGTGCCCGGCTAATTTTTTTTTGTATTTTTAGTAGAGACAGGAGTTTGACCGTGTCTCGATCTCTCGACCTTGTGATCCACTCCGTATCAGCCTCCCAAAGTGCTGGGATTACAGGTGTGAGCCACCATGCCTGGCCTCAAGGAAAGTTATAGCCGGCCAGGAATTGCTAAACATCAAAACATCAAGCATGAAGGTGCAATAAAGATATAATCAGGGCCGGCTCGTGGCTCATGCCTGTAATCCCAGCATTTTGGGAGTCCGAGGCAGGCAGATCACCTGAGGTTAGGAGTTTGAGACCAGTCTGACCAACACGGAGAAACCCCATCTCTACTAAAAATACAACATTATCTGGGTGTGGTGGTGCATGCCTGTAATCCCAGCTACTCGGGAGGCTAAGACAGGAGAATTGCTTGAACCTGGGAGGTGGAGGTTGCAGTAAGCCGAGATTGTGCCACTGCACTCCAGCCTGGGCAACAAGAGTGAAACTCAGTCTCAAAAAAAAAAAAGATATAATCAGACGTTTGAGGATCAAAACTTGACTCTCCATATACCTTTCAGAAAGCTACTGGAGGATGTGTGTTCCATTCAAACGAGGAGGTAACCAAAAAGGATGGTGTGGGATCCAGGAAATGTGATCTAACCTAGCTGAAAGAGAAAAGGGGTCCTCCAAATGAGGATGAGGCGGACCCTGGAAGACAGCTAGACAAAAGGACCCAGGGTATGGAGGGGACCCCTACCCAGATCAGAGATGACCTAATATGTATGTAAGTTCCATTGAGTTGGTTTTAAATTTTGTTGGGGAGCATGGGAATAATTTTGTTTGGCAGCTATCAATCCTGGAAAATCAAAGAGTTGTACAGGAAAGGGAAATGCAGTCCTAGTACTTACATGGCTCATCTGTGG